TGTGCAAAGATGTATAAGTTTTTGTTAAATTCAAAGTCATGTTTAAGTTAATCTAGTAATGGCAGCTATTCTAGTAGCTAACGTAGTTGTTTCTCGGCTTATACCATCTTGTGGTAATGGATCAGAGACAAGACTAACTAGAAAGCCACGTGGACCGTATACAGACACGTGTCTAAGGCTGCTAATGATGCTGCAGTTTTATCGATTTTGGAAATTCAAAATATGAAACACACAAAACTATTTTGTTCTTCTACGGCAAATGTGAAAGTTGTAAATGATGTAGTTTATCTCGTCATGAAATCGCATTTCTCTTTGTCTGCAACAATGCAACTGCAAGTTCTGTTTCTAAAGCATAGTTGTATTTCTTATACTGCATAATCAGCCCTAAACTTCTGTGACACAATCTTAACACCGGTCCTTAACTACAAAGGAACATTTTTAACAGTTGTATACATATTCCACGAACTTTGTTTTATATACAAGTCACGGTAGATGTTGCCGTCGAAAGTAACAAAATATATAATTATAGGTAATACATAAAGAGGGGTGTTCGTATTCCGTTTAATCCTTTTTTCGATGCACAATTTGATCTCCTTGAAAGAACAGAAACAAAAAATCAGATTTGAAGCGACATTGACCTGGACAAGAAACAAAATTAGATTATATGGAAAAATGCCTTGACATCTTTGTTGCTTCATTGATAAGAATCAAACGACAGTGAGATATTGTAAAATCAGAAACCCAGTGTTTTATGACCCGAATTATTATCCTTGGTCAAATTATGTTACTCGGTGTAATTACAAAACCACATCTTTATTAAGTTTTGTGGTAAAGGGAGTCTTTATAATTGAATTATGTATAAAAGAGTGGACGGCTCTTTGGTTTATCATATAGATATACTTGTTTTTTTAGGGGAGCTAATTTTCTTAGAAACAACGAAGACGATATCTTATTCCAATTTAAAATAAGAGAAGCGCAAAAACATGAATTTTTCTACGCATTTTAATTGCACGTAAAAATATTATCCTTAGCGTTTTCACTTCTTAATTACTAAATTTATCTTCTTTTATGATACACATGTACAGTTCGTTTTTACACTAAAACCTTTTCGCATAAATAAGGTATTTAAGTTATGTATTCTTGTATCTCAAGAATTTTTTTAACTATTGAACTGTTGATTTTTGGAATAAGATCAAATAACCTTTGATTAACAATAATATAGATAGTGCGACTTTTAATTTGGAACGTAAATTATTTTGTTACAATGATGAGGTGCAATAGTTTTTGGGGTTTTTTTTTATTTTCTTTTAAAATGGAATATTCACAATTGAATAATTTTTCATTAAAAATAAAAATGTTTGTGATGATGAGATTCTGGAATTTTTCCTCTTTAATATTTAAATACGTTTTGTTAATAAAAAGCAAATATTAATGCATAATATTTAAGCAATGCTAACTTTTATGAGGAAATATTGTAACAACAACAAAAATTAGATAAGTCTCTAAAAACAAAAAAATATAAATGTGGTTTAAGCAGATTATTTTTTAATTTGAAACTTATTTTTTCATTCTTAAGTGAATTACAATGATGGGATTTCAATTTTAAAAAGTGTACAATGGCTTCAAAATACATGTTTTCCTATCGTGTCTCTTCGTGGGTTTGTATTTTAAAGATTTCATATATAATACAGTATATAGTTTGCTTACGTACATGTATAAGAACGCATATAAACGCATAAAAAGGAATGTGTTTGTTGGTCGCTTTTTTCTTAATTGTTAAGGTATTTTAATTTCTATTTTAGAACAAAAATTAGGAATATATATGTATATGTCAGACGAGTAAAATTGCGACAATAATACGCTGTTGCGAGTTTTATCTTAACCAAGATAAAAGAATTCAAAATTTATGTTTTACAATATTATGCTGGGAATAGAAAAAATAACTCTAATACCAAACAATGTAAATTCTTTGTAAATAAAAAATTATTTTTCTGAAATCTGAAATATTTTTTAAAAATATTTCTGTTATGTTCATTTATTTTACAACCAAACCAAATAAATAGATAAACAAACAAACAAAAACAAAAAGAAATGAATTAAAAATATTCACATGGTTAAAGTATACAGTATATACTACTTAGTGAATACTTTATCGTAGAAAATTATCAACTTTATCGTGAAAAAAGCAAATAGTGATCAAGAAAACGACTGGGCTTATTATCATGCTATGAATACATTTAAAATAATAAAATCAATGGAAAAAAAAACATTTTTAATACTGATCTTGTAATAAGTTTTTGATACAAGTTTGAGTGCGCCTTTTGGTTTGGTTGAGATTATTTTTTTTTTCACAATATCTAAAGATCTATTTAACACCAAGACGTGTAGGACATTCGACAAAAGTAAATCACATATGTCAATACATTCAGTAACCACTTTGGAGGAACATGCTGCTGAGAGATTTGTAATGGAAGCTGAAGGTGTTGATCGTCCAATAAACCACTAAGCAGCTCCTATCACGGACCGCGAGAAGTCGTCAACTCGCTCAATTAGCTGGTCAATCAGGGCTTGGACTCCCGCGCAACTTATGACCGTTGCTTGGCATGGTACATTTATGATACACCATTGACCGGAAGAGAAGTTTTTTGATAGTTCTATAGGCAACTTTTTCGTAAATTTACCAAAATTCATGTCAATTTTTCTGCGAGTACTAGAATATAAAAGATGACGTGATGCTTGATTTTATTTTAAACATGACTGAGAAAAAAAAATCTTAAACTTAATGGCACAATAAAATAGAATCAAGTACAATCTTTAAGATTTGAAATAATAAAAACGAACATTTTTGCGAGAATATTTTTTTTTTATTAAACTCTAACAAAACAATTCAAAATATAAGATTTTCCTTTACCACATGTACATAACATGCAAACTTTGGTGATAAAATAGCTCAATTTAAAAATATATATAAATATTCGTCAAACTTTACCGGGAATTCACACATTCATGGACATAATCCCAAATTAGCCTGTGTATATAAATAATTAACAGTGCACACCCTCCAGATCAAATGTCAGTTGACAATGTTTAAGAAATATTTCTGCATGATATTCAATAAAGACGTGTATTTGAATGACTTGAATGCCCTCTCTTTGATCACAGGTCTCGCCATTGAATGATGGTCCAAAAAGGTTGGAAAAAAGCCATACACATGTATTCAATGTTTTCAAATTATCCGTAAGGTGATATTTTGTTTACGAAACCTCCTATCAAAGATTAGGTCAGACTAATGTTTGAGAAGAGCGCAAAAAGATTGCTATCGACCTGTCGCACAAAAGACAGTATTATACAATTAATAGATTGGTGTTGTTACTCCATAAAAAGCTCTTATCTGGGGCTACCCAGCGCCGCATAATAACGTCTGGTTTAACATAAAAGGCAGATATTCTGAATGTAAATTGTACAGGATTTTTTGTACACAAGAAATGTAAAAATCTTTTATATTTTTTTTTAAATCTTAAATTAGTTGAAACTGGTATTGGTGAAGTATAAAACTTTTATTTATTGTCATATATTAATTTAGGATAGGGATATTGGTAGGATATTAATTTTGTATCTAGATACAACAGACCAATTTTCTTAACTCTCACTAGAAGAGTAACATGTTTTTTTTTCAATATTTTATTCATTGGAGATGTATTTAAATTTCATTAAGGTAAAATGTAAAAATAAACTTTTGAAAAGAAATATTCCCAAAAACAGTAACTAAGCTAAATAACATTCCTAAAACATTTTAATTCTTACAAAGAACTGTATATATGTTTATATACATTTTCCCACTTCTCACCAAATTCTCTAACTTGGTCAAACGCTATACAAATATCATTATTACAGAGAGAGAAGTACATGTAACTTGTTTAAGGAAAAATATTAAAATTTAGGAAGGAAAAAGATTTTGTTATTTTACTCTTAATACGAAATATGTGTATGCGCTCTTAGGAAATGTGGGATTTCGATCGATGAACTACAGAAAAGAGATGTATATGTTGTGCTTCTAGCTCCTCCCTGGAGGCGTGTGACTGTCCACAGATTCCATTGTTTCAGAATCTATAATTTCTGTTATTTTATATGTTGTGTGAAAATGTTATCATAAATGAATTTACTTTTCCGAAAATATGTTCTTGAAATCTTAAATTGTATTCCTCAGGATGGAATAAAAGTATCTGCAAAAAATTAATCCCATTTCTATTTATTTCTTTTTCTTAAAATCTTGGCATGGTGGCTTATAATTTAAATGTTATCAATGTCTGCAGACAGATAATGCAGTGCACGGCAGGGAAATTCATGCGCTGCGCAATCTTTTAAAATGTGCCCGACGGGTTATGACCTTAAAATTTAGGTAACGTTGCGCAAACGGCTTAGTCTACAATTGAAGAATTAAAGATAAACAACTGCATTCGATCGTGACCTCAAATTTAGGTCAGCAGACTTTTGATAAATAACTACCACATTATGCTTGGAGTGCACGAAATATATTTACTTGTCCGTAAGTCACCTGGGTAAAACTGTTGGTAATCAGATAAAAGTCAGATTTATAACCATCGAAGAAGAAGAAAAAACAAACGAAAAACTTTACCTGCGTTTTCATGGATCGAGATATAAGTTTAGTAAAATTGATAAACTCCAAATTTTATACATTTTCAATATTTGCAATAACAGCAGACGACAAACCACGGATAGGAGCAGACGACAGTTTCACGCGGGGAATACCAGATACACGGTGCATTAATAATTTCATTGACTAACGTTACACAAGATACGCGAGAGGCTGTTCGCCATTTTGACACTTGAATAATAACCAGGGGCTGGCTAGACCCTCCTACCATACTGATATTCATTGGACCGGCAGTGGGCACGACCTCTTCTAGATTATATGCCACTGAAAGTGTGCGCAGAAATATTAAATTTATAATTGACAGCTGCAATAATGATTGCCAGTGGCCGCTTCTACCAATAGGAGCAAGGAAGATGGTGCGGTGTTATGCCCCCAGAGCGAAGGGGCCTCGACCAAGCGACTGCCATTGTCACTCAGAGATATACTTCTTGAACTTATGTGACATTAGACTCCTTATATGGAAAACTGCCATAGAAACTCAACAGTTTTAATACGAATGTCAGAGTTCAAAACATACAGAGCGCTACTCTAGGCCACCCACTCCTGGCGATGTGGAATCACTCCGCGCGAACCTCGTCACACCACCGTCTCACCATCTCTTCTCTTTAGAATACGTTTATATTTACGATCCAACACATGTTAAAGGTTGTATGTGGACGACTCTGGTTATTATGAGGACGACCTAATCAAATGTGGTTCGGTAGTGTGTTGTATGGAAACAGTATTGGCCATCTGGAGTCAACTTTGCAGATGACATCGGTTCTGCCATAAAAGTTTCATATTTTTCCGCATCTGGAGGATAACCTTTGATACACAACACTATACACTCGAAATCTTGCATGTAAATATTTCCCTATATGATGGCTTTAAACCCAACACCACCGAATGCAGTCAATACGTGGCCAAGGGATCCCGTGGAAGACATTGGTGCAACCACACCGACAGCAGTGGCACCACCAAGTGCCCCTCCCCCACAACCGACCCCCACAGCTGTCACCCCGACCCAGGGGCAACCGGCGCCTACCACTGTCATTGCTGCCCAACCCACCACCAATGGTACTCCGAATGGGGTAGGGTCACCTGACAATAAACAACAAGTTATAGAATGTGTTGTGTGTGGGGACAAAAGTTCCGGAAAACATTATGGACAATTTACTTGTGAAGGCTGCAAAAGTTTCTTCAAACGGTCAGTTAGGCGAAATTTATCATATACGTGTCGTGGAAGCCGACAGTGCCCCATTGACCAACACCATCGAAATCAGTGTCAATACTGCCGACTTAAAAAATGTCTTAAAATGGGAATGCGTAGAGAAGGTAGGTTTTAAACCTCCTCGTTATCATAATACTGACTGTGTCATTCATTACATTTTTATAACATTTTGATCTGATTTCTTTGAAAATGATATAGAGTAAAAAAAAAAAATAATGCTATTGTTGTATGATTGAACTATATTAATTCATGCCACCTAAAATCACGTGAAATTAAAGCTAAGTAAAACATAAAGATAATGATTATTATTTTTAATTATTTCAAGCACACGTGTAGTTCAATTTCTAAAATTGACCATGTTTTTTAACCAAGTCAACTAAACATTTTTGTGTATCTATTCAATTCAAAACGAGAATACGGTAATTGGTGTACGATGAATAATTCACACGAATGACTTGTAATTTTAACCCCTATCATGGTCTAGTGTTTAACTGTCTTCCGATAATCGTTAAAATGATATTTTGTCTAAGTGTGAGGAGTATTTCGGTTTTCCTGTTTGAAATGAAAATTGAAGTTTGAAACGGATGTGTAGTTCAACATGTTTTTAAAAGCACAAGGATAAAATTCCCCAGTTATGTTTTAACGTAGCCGGGCAGGAAATGCTTGTGAAATTCACCGTTTAAATTTGCAGACATGCTTTTTAAAATGCATGTTTTAAAACATATATTTGCATTTGATAATTAATGCCAAAATTTATAAATGTATGTTAATAAAAGTTGTCAAACTTAATCTGCAATTTATTCATGATAACAAAATGAAGATCATGAAAATTATTGTTTACGCTTTTATTATTTTTTGTTTATCAATTATACTCTTTTACACTATCCTCTCAGATAATCGGAGAAAAATTGCTGAGAAAAATAATTTGGGATGAATTTACATTTGAAAATCTATTTATAAAAATAAAGCAAAATCAACAGGAAGTTCTTTCTTATGTTATTATAGCCACATTTGAAATAATATATAATATAAAGTTTAAGTTAATTTTCTTAATATGAAATGGGGAAAATATCAAATCATTTATGACATTCATGTGAATGGACACATTTTACATGTATACTCAGGTGTAGACTATTGAATCGTGCTTACAATGAACATATCTTAGTATTGAAATATTAAATACGTTTGTAATGTCATATTTTTTAAAAAGAAAATAATCATCTAACTCATCTGCTGAGTTAATTTAAAATCAAAATGAAATCTGGTTATCTTTAAAAAAAATAATAAAATAAAGAATAAACATTGCATTTAATTTGATACATGAAAAACCCTGAATATTACATGTAGGCAAAGAGGAAATATTTCACGAAGCTTTCCTTTATCAAAAAAGCTACATGGTTATCTTTATGAAAACTTGAGCTCAGACATGGGAATTAGGCAAACCAAGGTTTAGCTCATAACGACGACAATGTTGTTTTTTTTATTGTTTTAACTGAATGAACAATGTGACCTGGACGAAATTCCCTAATGACATATTAAAAAGGTTATCTCACTCAACCAACATTTTATATTGAATTTATACGTTAATATTTGATCATTATAGATGAACAACCGCCACAAGAGACAAAAGAAAAAAAGGCAAATTATTCATGTAATGGGGAAAGGATTATTACAAAATAAAAATCAAGGATCCGTGCGTGAACGGCTTTGTTTAGCATAGGATATATATATATTTAGTTTTACATATCGCCAAGTCAGAAAGCCGTGACACGACGACCTTTTTAAAAGTTAATCACGACCCAGACATGTACGCAGACTATCGCAGGTGTCGCTTTGCGCATAGCTGTGCAACACCGAACTGACATACGGATTTATCATGGGTACAAAAAGTTGGCAGCGAGCTCAACAAAGATATAAACTTGAATTTAAAAACGCAAACGTGAGCGCGGGAGAAAAAAAATCCTCTTTGCACATGCATGCACTATCATGAGAGTGTGCATCTCAAGATATTTGAACATATGCAGATTTATAGCGCTATATTTTTTCTCCTTTCATTTCAAGTAGGTTTTGGGTAATAACATTACATAAAAATCTTTATGACTTCATGCTCAAATGTGAGACATTTGTACACGAGTAATTACTTTCTTTTGCGGAATGGGTGAATGTAATTAACATGAAAAGCCAGAGAAAAATTCGCGTTACATAACACATGCATGATACTGTAGTCCATCTCCTTACACTGTCGTTATAGAAAAACTTGTAAATGCGTCTTTTTTGGACCACTCCACATCCCTCGACAAGAAAGTGTCATTGCATGAAATCAATTATAGCGGCATAATTTTCCACTGACTGCAAGAAGCCTTCGCTTGTCTTTTGTTTCACAGTCCAACTCAAGATGTTTTCCCAGCATCTCTTTGTTCCTACATTGGGTTATATGATATTCACACTTTTTCAAATGTGTTTACGAGCTTTATTACGGAGTTCTTTGCAGTCGAACCCTCCTTTGAGGCTGATGCAGAAAAGGGGAAATAGATTCGATGTTTGTAATTGATTGCGTTACAGAAGTAATAGCTGATGTGTTTTTACCGATGAGTTCATGTTGTACCTATAGATATATAAACACGTGTGTTTAAAGTACAAGTAAAGTTACTGTAAAGTCGTTCATCACTGTTATGTAATGAATAAACTGACAGATTCAATAGACATGCCTTTCACCTATCTCCTCTATTGTTTTGTTTTTGTGAGCCTTTTTATGCATTAATGAGAATGACTTTTAATGACCAGTTAACGTACAAATCAGTAGCTTTGTCCCAAAGCCAAAGTGAAAATTATACTTTCATGAATAATTTGGAGAATTTCCTTGTACATGTCCTGTCTGCATGTCGTTATGTGGTTAAGGAAGAGCGTTTTGTGGTTTTTTTCAAATCAATCTGAACAAAACAGAGGGGATGTGGATATCACAAAGCCTGTCTAATGAACTGGTCCTCGACATGCTGAATCAATCCATTAGTTTTAGGTGCATTCATATATAGTTTTTTTTCACACTACCTATCAAATAAACTGAAAAGAGTTAACTGAATTTCTAGTCTTAGTTTTTCTCTCATTTACATTTTTACAGCAGTTCAAAGAGGGAGAGTTCCACCAACACAGCATCCCTTCCCCGGACAAGTCACTTGGGCAAATGGTGACCCCTTAAATGGACACACATATCTTTCCAGTTTCATTTCCATGTTACTAAGAGCCGAACCATATCCAACATCACGTTATGGACAGTGTATGCAACCTAATAACATTATGGGCATCGAAAATATATGTGAACTAGCCGCAAGATTGTTGTTTAGTGCTGTAGAATGGGCAAGAAATATTCCCTTTTTCCCGGAATTGCAAATCACAGACCAAGTTGCTTTGCTTCGACTGAGTTGGAGCGAGCTATTTGTGTTGAATGCAGCCCAGTGCTCTATGCCGCTTCATGTGGCCCCCCTTCTAGCAGCGGCTGGTCTCCATGCTAGCCCTATGGCCGCTGACCGTGTTGTAGCTTTCATGGACCACATTCGGATATTCCAGGAACAAGTGGAGAAACTAAAGACTCTCCATGTGGATTCCGCTGAATATAGCTGTCTTAAAGCCATTGTTTTATTTAGTTCAGGTTTGTTCTTTACTCATTTTATTTTCATTTTTATGCAAGTTCCACCCTTTTCATTTATTTATCCGGTTTAGTTATGATCATGTTAACAGACAGTTAAAAAATCAAATGAGATAATAAGCAAAAAATACCCAAGGTGTAAATTGTAATAAACAATATAGTGTTATATCATCCAACCTCCTGTGCAATGAAAACTGAAGTTTTAATTCCGTGTTTCATACAGGCTGTGCAAATAGTCAGTTTTATATTGATCAGAAAAGGTTTTATCCGTAATGAATTATGTTTAAATAAATATACACAGAAGCTCTCCTAACTCCCACAGGGTTTGAACCCTGTAAATTGATTTCATATTGAAAATATTGCATAATTCTGTTATTATTTACTTTTAACCTCTCTATTGAACATAATATCGTGCAGATCTTTCATAAAATAGAAAAAGCCAAGTTCGCAAAATTGTATTGATTTCAGAGATAAAAAAAATCTTTCAAATAAATTAAAGTTGTTACAGAGAGTAGAATATTATATTTGATTTTACAGATAGAAAACCTGAACCAGTTCCGTCCCAAAGACCCGCTGTCAACGGATACAGTAAGTATCTCCCTTTACACATGGTCTCGTCCAACTCTCGTTCATATTCCGCGTAAATGGGACACCTCATTTGATGGAGTTATTAGATCAGTATATTACACTTTAGGTTTTCCAAAAATTCTAATAAAATAGAATTTTAAAAAGGCGTAGAGTAATGAAATTGTACCAAGGAAAGATATTTTTTATCATCAAACCATGCATATCGACTATTTCAAAAATGCATCTTGCATCACAAGAATTAAAATATCTATCAAATTATCAAGCTTCTGTGATTTGATCCGTTCTGCCCTTAACATATGAGATTTCCTTAGATTAGTAGAAAAAGCAACTCTGTGATGGGATTATTATTATTGGGAAAGAAAGTCAGGAAAAATTTTGGGTTTTGTGACGGAACTGGGGTAGCCAATCTTATGTCCAGACTCTGTTCTTACATGAACTTTTTTGGTTTCCTTTTTTTTTCAGTAAATAAGGTAAAATTTAATGGTCAATTCATGTAAAACTGAATGATTCAATAACCGCCAGAAGTATATTTGCAATAGAAAGATAGATAAATTCCTTTAAAAAATTTAAATATTATTCCTGAAACCTCGAAAAAATTTATCACTTTCAAGAGCCTTTTTTGTCTATTTCTTCTTTAATAATTAAAAAAAAGAGCTTTGGACAATTTTTTTTGGTGCTAAATTTTGGCTACATAAAACGCATCGAACATTCACCTCTTGAATGACCAAGAACAGAAAAAAATGCATACAAAACAATCAATCAAGTCGTTGATGCTTGCAATGTAAAGAAAAAGATTGTCAGATTTGAGGACGTGTCTTTGATCCTTGGTACACTGTCAATGTAGCATTCATACCGGGAGTTCACCGTGACCTAGGACAAATATTATGGCGACATATTTTAAAACTAATAATAACCACGGTATAATACATGCAATTACAAAAGGTGAGATTCTTAATAAATAATTTTCATATAAAAGAAATATTTGAAAGCAACACACAAAAAAGGGAAATTAACCTGTTACGTATATATAGATAAAGATAGGGTAAATTATTTCTGAGAAGACATACAAATTATATAAAATGCAAGCAAGCAGAATAGCTTTGATATTTATAAAGAAAAAAATTATTTACCATAGAACGGGACATTTTCATGAATCGTTTACATTCAAAATATATAACATAGATATACAACACCGCACAAAAAATCTAAGAAGTGATGAAAAGTGATGCCAGACGGCTAGGAAATATTAATTTATCTCGGACGGATTTATAAACAAGTGCCACAGACAGGCCAGGGGTCACCAGTGTGACGATACACCAGTGATACTATATTTAATAAACAAATACGTGTACATTTTTTTCTTTGTATGTTTTGTTGAAATCTGACTTACAACATTTTCTCTATTTAAAATAATTTTATTGATTTTTTCGATGAAAAACCAAAGAGTAGTCAGTTAAATATAATAACTATTAAACACAATACAAATTAGTATCAATTCTATGTTTTCCCCTTTTCAGTAGTTGTTTTTAAATTGAAGATCTGTTACAATGAACATTGTCCACAAATGTAGTCTCAAATTTATTCTTTTTTTATTCACTAATACACCAGTGTAAGTGTAGGGGTAAATTTTATTATTTGAATTGTTGACATTCAAAGATTATCATAGAGAAAGAACCCAGCATTTCAGCATGAAATACTCTTTGGTAATGACCTAAACAATTCTTTCGAACATCAACTCACATATTCATGAGTTGTTCCATGTCTTCTCAATTTATTTCATTTGCAAAAATTTCCCACGATATCTCTAGCTTATCGAGTGCATTTCTTGTCGACTTGACCGTCAATGGTCAATTGCTTTTATCGCTCCTCTTTATTTTTACAAATGGTTAGAGTGATGAACACAATACTATACTGGGTAGGCAGCGGTCGGGGAAATGGCGTGCCTTTTATTTTTCGTTGATATTTTTATTTGACACGGGTGATGCATTGCTCATCCCGAAAGTGCATAGCAATTTTTGACCTAATAATGATAAGAGATATGAATTTTTTTAATGGTTGAATACAATGAGAAAAAATGCAGCTGAATAAGTATTTTGAAAGCAATTATTTCCGAAACTATTTCTCGATTTCCTTTAGCAATTTTAGGGGTTTTGTGTGAAATGTCATAAAGGTTACATATATAAATGACAAACAATAAAAGATTAATTAACACTTGTCATGAATTTGATTAAGTAGGAAAAATAAAGTCGCATTTAACCTCGATTCAACCTTGCATGGAAAAGCCCAATATATCACGTCCTCAGCCGGGGAGGTTTTTTGTGTTTATTATAAATATCTACACGAATATTGTTGGCAAAATGCGAGAGACACAAGGATATTCAGCGAAAATTCAAACTTCATAAAAGTAAACACATATGATGAGAAAAAGTAACACCCTCCTGACATTTTACATTGGAGGGATTTAAGAGAGATTAGGGTTTCCTTTCACCACAGGATTTTGCATCAGAATGGTAAAAAAACACCCGAGTGCGTTTATAATTGTCACCCTAAATGTCTTGGGAAAAAAGAAAACCCATTGGAATTCTTTACGATTTGTTTTTAACCTTTGGTGTAGTTCGAATACAAGGTGAAGTACGAGTAGCTTTACTCTCTTATGTAAGGTTTTGTCGACTTAAATGACTCTATTAGCAATCTCTGTGACGAGAAAAAATGACCCCCAAAGTATGAAGTCCCAGATATGCTATCTGTGTAAACCTAGCAATGTTTAAAGATTGTCGTCTAATTCAAGATCTGTTATGACGATGAAAAGATTTCCGAGTATGCCTCAACCTTTTCAGCCCTCGAGTGCGCCCTTTTTTCTCTCTTATTCTCTGTCTCTCTCTTTCATTGCACACTGCAAGAGTGTGAAACACTGCATATGATTCTAAACCTGCTGAATAAAAAAACATGTTGCCTCTAGCTATAAATAATTTGGCAATGCTCCAAAACCCTAGTTTTGTTCAAAGATTACGTGAAGCAATATTATATCACTCTGGTGCAACAACAGGCCATTCCAAATATATGTTCGGTTATCCGAAATGAATCTGTTAGCTAAATCAGAAATTAGGCCTTAAACAGGTATTGTTGAGATCAAGCGATTTGTTAAACCACAGTTTTTAAACGAGCATAAAAATTGAAAATATATTTAGGGAGAAATATTTGTGATGTAAATTTAGATCTAATAAATATAACCTGGTTGACAAAAGATGAAAATACAGTATTTTCCCCCTCCCCTCTCAGATAACACCTTGACTTTTCAGCTAGATAGCCTAGGGAGATTTTTCTCTCGTTTTCTAAATCATGAGGTTACATGCACGATGGTGATAGGAGATAGCAGTGGCCCGAGGCGTTACAAAGTGCAACCTATCTTGTCAACCAATAAACTTGAAATTGCTTTTAAAATTCTGACACATAATGTCTAATTAATTATTATAATTTCAATACTAAAATTCGTTTAGTATTTTTAATTAGTTGTATAAAATAAAAAACAAATCAACTTTACAGCAATTGAGCCAGATGCCGCATTTTTATTGTTGTAAATAAGACAAATAAAATAATCTGGTATTCTTTGGTGTTTTCTAGACCTTGGGGAAAATTAGCGACTGTACGAGTTATGAATAAATTAAGGCATGGAATTACAATGAAGCATCTGTCCTCTTTCATAGTGGATGACCCAATACTCCTCGCAATTATTAGAGGCATTTTTTCTTCTGATAAAACATACCATGAGAATTCTTTGTTTAAATTTTTGAAAACCAACGAAGGTTTCTCTCGTAATGTTATCAATTAAAAAAGAAACGGAGCATTTTTTTAATTCATGGATGAAGTTGAAGAAAAGAGTAGAATAATGTGCACTTTTTTGTTAATTGATCGACTCTTAAAATTATAAAATATATTTCTAAACTTTCATGCAAAGTACAGTTATTTTATGGGCGTAGAAAGAGATGAAATTAAACCTTGCTGATAAGATTATAGAGGAGGCAAAGCGGAATCAGAAAATGTAATATATTTCAGCATTTCAAAAAATAGGTTATAGCATTTACATTTAAAGCTGCTGACATATAAATTGAAAGCGGCAAAATTACAGCGGATAATGTGCATATGACAAAATGGTGCTATTAATTTGTGTTTTGGTCACAATGTGAGCCCTGTGTTCTATTGCATAAGGTTTTTTGTCCATAGTCGGTACAAATCTCGACAATTTGTTGTAATTGCAGTACATTAGATGCAGCATTGAATCGGATAATCATCCGCGTTATTAGGACTTTACAGAGCGATGTATTATGCCCCGCCTCCTGCAAATTAACCAGTCTCGATCACAGACCTATTGATCGGACTCACCTTCTTGACAAATAACTAACATGTTAAAATACCTGAATGAATTATTATTTATATTATCCGGTAAAGTGATGATCATTTTTCCGTTATGGGACTCTGAATGCTAGCTAGGCTTGAAAAGCGCTATTGATCCTCCTATACCGGCGCTATAAAGGAGAAACAGAACTGACATTTAAGGGAAATAGACTAGCATGCAAATTTTACAGACATAAAAAGAAGGAAGCAAATTTACAAAATGCTTCTCGCCTCTTTTTCTCGGTTTTCTTGATATGTTGAATCGTGTTTTATGATCAAATCAGCCAAGTTGTAATGATATCTTTGTCTTAAATAAATTCTATTTTATGAAGTTAATATAAGGATAAATTATGGATATTTATAATTGCCTGCATAGTTTCTCTCGCTAGAATAAGCCTAAAAAGAGTTCATTTACATTTTCCAAAATGTATCAACATAAAAAAGGTTTGACATCTATTCATTTTTATTGCCTTAAAAAAGAAAAGGTTATAGAGAACTTTAGACATTTAACAGAACAGGTTGGATAGTCTACCAATTTTTAAGAATCTTTTCCTAGAAAAAGAAAAAGGTCAGATGCAAGTTTGCAAGGGTTTATTTGAACAAAGCGTCAGTCACAGATCAAAATTGCCTTTGTACCGGAAAAAGATGCATGCTCATTAGTATTTATATTATGCAGGAAAGGTTACAGGATGATAAAAAGTAAAACGACCTGCAGTATGCTGCGCAGGGCCAGGCAAATTTCACTATTAACATTTCTCCTTTGCTTATTATGTAACGACCAATTTAATGCAAACATTTTATCAGGGCGCGCTATGGTTAATGGTAGCCGAATAAATGGCGATAAATTTAAAAGATAAGTTAACCTTCAAAAATCCACCGATAAATATGTCTGCCTATACACAGCTGCTTATTCTAGAAGACAGAAATAATTTTCTCACCCGGAATCGAGAGATTGCGTTTTATCGTGTGCATGTCGGTTCACTCTTTTATGTTTTCGAGATACATGTAGATAACAGCAGGAAGCGCAACACGTAAACTTTTTGAAGACGAAATGTTCAACATATTGCATAAAATGCAAGCAAATTTTTCGGTATATAAATACTAGCATCAAACTGACAGTTTTAAATTTACCACTTCTTAAAGAATTTTCCTTCGTGAAAATTCGTTTTTTCATATCTCCCAAGTCATCACGAAAAGTAGTGTCTTTAGTATCACCATCACGAATAAAAATTAATTAAACGCAACAATATTCATGATAATTAAAGTCGACCAAAATATTACCTGTGTCATACCACATTCCTTTTAAAATGAATCAAGAATTTTATCAAGATACAAATATACAAACTCCTGAAATATTTCTCAGAAAAAGCAATTTATATAATTATAATATCCCACATAACTACTAAAATGCTTCAAGACGAAGATACAAAACTTCAGAATCGAATTATTACTAACAATTAAGATAAAATAATTCATTTTCTCTGGTTAATTTCCACAAAGCACTGAAAAAGATAATATTAATTTTTTTGTTTGTAGTATTATTTCATAAATTGATAATTTGGAGTACAATAAAGCGACTCAACGGGCGCAATTAACAGAACGTTAATTAATCTTACAATCAGTTGATAAGTTAATTTGAATACTCTTTAGTGTAAAATGTGTGCAGGTTCACGAAGTAGATAAGGAAATTATTCATTTTTTGTTCAATCAAGCTCATAATTTTGAAAAGTGCCTTTTTTCCATATCCAAGTTTACAGTTATAGAGCAAAAGTCGCCGTTATTTCTATTTCTACATCAAAATCGAAATGATCAAGACTTAGAATATTTAGGTAAAAAGATTGGATTGTGATTTAGAATTTAAGATAAAATAAAAACGATTTACATGTGTGCATGTCTCTATCCATGAAAAAGTATTGAGAAATTTTTAGACATCGAATTGAAATTTATGTCAAGAAAGTAATAAATATGCAATTAAGGACAAACAGTGAACCTTTTTTATGTTTGTTATTAAAGGCACTTAATCGATAGCTATGTTGTTTTAAAAAATACTTATAAATGAAATGTAAATGATGACATCTATTGATTTTTTTTCTTATTTTTTTTTAAAACATCGTCAACTGTGCAGTATAATATTACCATCTTTGGTATCTTTTTATTTCTATCAAATGATGCACAATATGCTGTTTTTTTTTCCAGATGCTTGTGGGCTTTCGGACGCTACTCACATAGAAAACATACAGGAGAAATCTCAGTGCGCCCTGGAGGAGTACGTCAGAAGCCAATATCCAAACCAACCCACACGATTCGGAAAACTCCTTCTAAGGCTTCCATCTCTACGAACGGTCAGTGCGCAAGTCATAGAACAATTGTTCTTCGTCCGGTTGGTTGGTAAAACCCCCATTGAGACACTGATTAGAGACATGCTATTGAGCGGAGGGTCGTTTAACTGGCCCTATATGTCCATACAATGACTATATGAATGATCGAAATATAGGGCACTGTTCACGTCTACTCACACCCAGTCTTTCCAAAATCTGAATCCCCTTTCCTATCTTTGTTTTTTTCAATGGTTTGTACAGGAAAAAAGTCATAATAGTTTTTAAAATATTGTTAAAAAGGGATATTTTATATATTTTTGTTAATGCTTGTGTATTTTCTGTTTTGGTAGTTGTTTAATAGTATTGAGAAATCATTTATTTCCCTCCTCTTCGCAAAAAAATCTTTTCGAATTCAAGCCTTTGTTTTTGTAAGACCGCAGTGCATTAGAGATTTTCATTTTATTATACTGCTACTCCCCCTCATATTTTTTTCTTATATTTCATTGACTTTAGAAACATGGGTTGTGCCCCCTTGCTTTCAGCTTTGATGTTATGAAATTTAGTCGAACTTGGAGCACAGGTTCTAAAATCTTTCCATGTGTCAAGGAGGCAGCTGATTTTTTGACCATTTAAAAAAAAGAGCTAACTAAATAGGGTTAGTTTTCACTGCTTCTCTGCTCTGATCTGTGAGGAACGAATCCTTAGCAGCATTCAAGCGTTAGAGAAGGGAACTAAGGGCAGAGAACCGGTGCTACAGTCTCACTATGCGTTTAATTTTCGCTCTTGAAAGTGAAATATAAAAGTATTCACCATACCATTCAGCCATGATGTAATCAAGGCTTGAATGAAAGATTGAAAATCTCCTCTACATTTTTTGTGTAAAGTAGAATTTTTTCTTGCCCCTGTAAAACGATCGTGCCATGTATAACCCCAATAGCTGAATGTACGAAGTAACATTCCAGACATAATCAAAATCATGTAAGTGGTGCGCATGATTATCAAGATTTATATATATATATATTTAGCAATACATTTTTGTACATGTATATTTTACTGTTGAAAACAACGGCATTTTTTTCGCTTTATATCCTTGAAATGTACATTGCATGCATTATAATCAAAATATGTTCCTGTAGTTAGCGAGGCGATCTTCGTTGCATGGAATTAAAACAATATTACTCATGTAATAATCCCCTTTGTTTCATTCAGTCAGCCATTGTTTTTCTTTGTTTAATTGACAGTGTAGTCAAGAAAGATGGTCTGGTGACTTGAATGAAAAGCCCATTTTAAATGCAATTCATTTTTTTTTCACTCATTTGGTTATAAACCGTTTTTTCATTTGTTCATTTAAGCCCGATTTTATACCCAGCTAAATTTTATGTCATATAACATTCCATCAAATATATAGATAGATTTTTGTCCTAACTACAAAAAAAATTCCAAACTCAACAATTTGGCTGTTTCTTTATAGAGCTAGTATTAGATAGTAAACTTTTTTATTTAGAACTCTTTTTCAAGTTTAATTACGTTTCAGGTTTTCACACTTATTTAAATATTTCAAAAAACAACACATTTATATAATCTATAGCATTTTATACGCATCTCTCTCGCTTCTCATTTTTTTGCCTGTAAATATTATTAATAATCATCCGAGTTGTAATCCTTATTATTATTTTGAAGAGGCTATGTCATTATATGTATCAGAGGCCAAAGAAATTAACACACCATACACAGTGTATAAAGCAATCGGTTAGTATTAAACATTTGTTTTGTTTTGTTTTAATTTGATACTTTGTTTGTTTATGTATTTCAATTGAAAATTGAATATTGATAAAACTTGTCTTGATGATTTTTTTCTCATCAGCGAAACATCCTTAATTCCTCTATATACAAGTGGTATAAAACATCCTCTATAAACAAGTAGCTTGGGGCAGCAGAGGAATTTTAGGACGTATTTTCATGCACATCAAATATTAAAATATTTCACATTTTTAGGTTGAAGTTTAAGATCAGCACTTTTTTGTGCGTGTTTGTTTTTTCTAGTCTTTTTTCATAAAACAAAATAAATTGCTTCCCATGTTAGAATTTTAAAGAAATCAGAACTGAGCCATTGTAATCCGAGGATAGTTTTATCATTTTATTATTTTGCTTCATATGAATGTACCTTTTACCAGATAATCTAAACATTGATTTTTATTTTCAAAATGCCAAAGGAAAGCTTCCGCCATAATATTTTGTTGCTTTAGTATGAGAGTTGTTAATGATTAAGTGTTTTGTTTAATTATTATTATTATATATAACCAACAAAATCTATCACAAATATATTATATTGAGTTGTGAGAGAATTCTGAGATGTACACTCATCCTTTAAACGAGCTGTTAATTATTTTTTTTTAGAATTGTTGACAGAGTATTTGTTCAAGGAAAAAACTCTTACTTTGGTCGGACGCTAGTAATAACCAAGAACTTAAGTCTGGTCTGAGACTCTAAGTATCCGACTTAATGTCGCACGGCCTGGCCATAGCAAGAGTTTCATTATGTGTGTTCTTATTCCATCGTATGACTATGCCCGTACTATTCTGTGTTGTGCTAAAAGGTGTCCAAGACACTAAATTCTGTCCATGGCTTATGAAATATTAAAGTGTTGTAAAACGACAGAATGCATCTTCCTTTTTTTTTGTTGATCTTGATTGCATCGAGTCTGATATATAAATACATTTTCTAGAAATTAATGGGTCGTTAATGAATTAAAATATAAAAGCTTTACTGCTGTAAAAATAAGCAGATAGCCTTATACTGGGCCTTCGAATGACCTACTATTAGAATATAATGACTTACACAAGTTGTCGATTTTTAAACTGGGAAAAAAAGATTCAATTACGAAGGATAGGCAAGTATTATTTATGCTGATTTTATACCTGTTAGAACCATATTTTAATGACGAGCTGTATTATAATTTAGGAGATTTAGGTATTTATTTAAATGTTAACCGTACTTTTTTTTAGATAACAATTTTTCGGAAATAGAAGTGACCTTTGAAGTAATTATATGTAGTAGATATGTTTTTGAAATTACACCTGTCTCTAAATATTTCTACAAATGATTTACATTCCTTTCCATACAGTATATAATTCCTTGAAATCGTGAGAAAGGTTAAAGTTTTAATGACTGCAGAAAACATTATATTTTGATTAATTTTTTTTTTCAAATTTCGCTTTAACCAGCAATCCATCCCCTCAAAAAACACATCATGGGAAAAAATTTCATTTAGAAGTGTAAAAAAAATGACCGCGAAAGGGAATTCAAGTTATCGAATAAACCATAACTCGTCTTTGGAGTAAAACATTCAAACTTAAAACCCACTCAAATTATCCAAGGTTGTCAATGTATTGCGCCCTTTGTATGATAAAGTGAAGCGAGCACTATCTGCCAAAAAAGATAAAAATAAGCAAAACACCATCAACTAGGTCATTTAAGGTGGTTTCTCAAAAAGTAAGGTAAACATTTATTTCTAAAACTATTTAATTTCTTTGATTTTTTAAGTGTTAATGTTATGTTCCTTACATCTCGCACTTAGAACATTTTTAACACATATATATCAGTATACTAGTAGATTATAAATGTATATAATTTTGCTTCTACACATGAAGCATCTACTGTACCGTTGTATCGAATGTTGTAATGCCTTTCCCCCTTCAAATCATTGAACGTGAACAGACTTAAATTCTTGTTTGAATTTAAAAGTCAAACTCTTTCCGATGATTGCGGTTTTCTTAGAAAGGTCTCTTGTCATGTAAATTATTTGCAAGTTTAAAATGCGAATTTAATTAGATATAGACTTTTTAAAGAGATCTCTTTCACTATAACGTAAAAAAGAACAGCGACTTATTGGTTATAAATATAACTAGGGGTGTGCAATATTACCGGTATATCGGTATATTGCGGTATTATCCACCACGATAATATATCGCGATATGAAAATCAGATACCGGTATTTCACGATATTTATAAAAATATATAAAAACCTCCTTTATTGTAGAAACTGTTAAAATAAAACTGGAAACTTCTAAGTCTTTTTCTTTCTCGTTGAAAGAATTCTTCGTCAGTTTCGTTCGGGAGAGAGAAAGAGAGAGGAGAGAGAGGGGGGTGGAAGCTTTTAATTCGCTGTTGCAGTTTTGAATATCTTACTTTGAAATAAAATTACCAATTAATAAGACTTTAAAATAAAATTTATAAGAAAGGAAATATATAAAACATTTTTACAGGGTGTATACCATATGCATTGCGGTTCTCAAAATCTCACATTGAATCTACACGATCGACATCGCGGTGAAATGTCAAGTTCAATATACATGTATGATGTACATATTACAAGTAAATGGTCATCCATGTTTTCACTTGTAGCAGTGTTGTTTTAATTATTTTTTAATAACTTTCATGCCATTTTAAACACCTTATGCTATAGCAGGAGCATGTATATACTAAAACAGGCCATTTCCTGATTGTACTCTTGATGTGAAATTAGGTCGGGTTAGACTAATTTACCAAAACGCACGAAAACAGGTCACAATTTCTTTCTGGTTTTTTAAATTTTATTTTGTAACCACAATAAAATTATTTTCATATAGGCCTAAATGTATATTGTTTTAATCTTTAATAACATTTTATGCTCTTTAAAAAAAAAACTATAATCTGTAAAAAATTTTATTTCAAAAGAGAGATTTTACCATTTGGTGTGCAATCAATGTCTTATCCCTCCTCCCCCTTTTAAACTTAAAGATAAATTCAAATAGTCTTTTGGCATTTCAAACATTCTACTCAAATTTATTAATATAATTAATCTACAATATATTGCAATATATTGCAATATTCAAAGTAAAATATTGCAATATATCGCAATATGGATTTCCTTCGCAATACCCAACTCTAAATATAACCTGTCTGGGTATTTGTCCACCATATTTAACGTGTTTAAAAAAGAACTATGTAATGTACGCATATATGTATTTATGAACCAAAGTTAATAACAAGACATATAAAACCAGACGTCGTCACACTTTTGTTTTGTCCCTAATTATGCATTTTCTCATTATGGAATGTAAACAAGGATTAAATAATGTACTATTGACATGATATTTAAACGTTTAACGTACAAAGTTTATATAAAATCAAATAACTATTTGAAGATATATGTACATGTAAAGACTGTATATTTAATGATAAAATGCGATTTTTTTCACCGCCAAAATTATTTATTATTCTACATTTATGCTTGAATCTTCTAATTAGATAAATCATAGTTGACTTAAAATATATAAAAAGACAGGATGTATTAATACCTTTAGATGTTCATTATCTACGATGTTATTTGGATGATTTCATTTATTTATTGCTCAGTGGCGAAAAGAATTTTACTTAGACCTTAAACTAAAAAATAAATGGCATAAACTAACATGTATATACATTTCAACTAACGAAAACCTTAACCTATACATATTTTGAACAATCGCTATAAATTACATCCGCGAAATACAGCATAAAAAGTTATTAAAATTTTTTATCCTGCAATGTAGACATCTCCGTGTGTGTTTAGGTAGGGGAAAGGGATTGAATCAATCTTTTTTTATGAAAATGGACTACTCACAAACTTAATACATGTGTAAGTACTTTGTAAGTATAAAATAAGAGGGCATGTTTTACTTACAATTTATTTATACCTTAAGCTTCCATCAACGAAAGATAAATGACAAGATAAATGACAAATCATTCATAACTATTTAGCCTACTGTCTGCTACAAAAATTCATATTTTTTTCAATTTAAATTTGTTTTTAAAAAAAAAACATTTAAAAAAATTGCAGCAAGAAGTATTGAATACTTGATTTTTAAACATGTTTTTTAACATTTATATTCAAAAACATTTCTGAATCTTTTTAACTAAATTAAGTATAGGTGTACAAAATATGTCAAAGTATCTCTGACTTTGTTGTCCGAATGCCTTTATAAAGACAATAATTTCAGTTCTAGACAATCGTCACAAAGTGATATTGATTGTGCAAGCTATCCCGTAAATGTGAGGCATTTTTCGTTGAAATTATGTCACTTTTGTAATTGCAGTCTTTCTTTGCTCCATTTTATTGTCATTTGCGCTGTTTCCTAGCCATCTAGTATAGAAGATACCTTATGTTCGCTGATTAAGGTAATAAAGTTCAACCCACGAGCTCCTAAGTCTTCCGGCACCTTATTAACTTTTTTCCCTTTTTACGGCGGAAAAATATAATACAACATGCAGTTTGAACGGTGCTCCTATCTCAGTTTAAGATCTTATTAATCTATGGTGAAAATCTAACAATTAAAATTAGATGTGTCGATGCAAAGGAAAACTAGGGCGCTATTTGGAGACAAAAAAGGCCCTAAAATGGAAACATCTCAATTAGTCCTGAATGGAGTGACAACCAGCACTTCAACAGACAGAAGTGACGAACATCATCCAACAGCCATTGTGGTAAAATATCGGAAAACCACAAAAACCAACCCGCCATTTATGTAGATTAGGTTATTGTGTGTACTAGTTATAAGATTAACTTTCAACGAGAAGCTGGGGAGGATATTGATTTTTATTATCATTGCGTAAATTATCAGCGGTTTTTTTCTTTTCATTTTTTCAAAAATACTGGTGATATTAGATGGGATTTTTCCTACTAAATTGGATACCTATAATAACTTTTTGTATGTAGGAATAAAGTTTTGGGTCATATCTTATGATTTTCTGGTAGCAGTTATGTTGCAACTATAGGAAAAAGTATTTATCACTTTTACTTGTAAAAAAAAATGTCAAACATACAAAGTGATTTTTCCCCAGTCAGCAAACATATGCTCATTAAAAAATATGTTTAAGCTTACTATTATACGTAATTTTACGTGTGTATAGTAAATTGTTTCCAATTTACGGAATTTGCGAAGTGTCACTATTTACAATAAGAATTAGCCAACCAAATGACCAAATCTATTTAACCCCATAACGTACTTCAAAAAGGGGCGAGAATAAACTATTATTTATTTAATACCACATCACGAATTCTGTTAATCATTAATACATTAATGTCTGTGTCCTGATTTCTAAATTGAGTTTTAAATGGAGACATCCTCTCTATGCCTTATTGCTAATGATAAATAAATGTATATCTACTGTAAAATAAGAGCCAGTTTCCGTCTTCATTAAGAACTGATCATTAATTAGTTGAAAAGTTCGAATTTTTTACACCCTTTCTTTTTATTTCTTCAAGCTATGTTATGCATAAGAAATGTAAATATTTTTAATTTAAACGCAGTTCAGAAATAAATCATTTTTGGATTTTGAATTCTAGACGGCATAAGATACGTGTATATCTTTACATGGTCAATTAAAATAACTTTTCATTGTTTTAAACAATAAAATATTTCAATTAATTTAGTTGTAATTAAAGAAGAATTTGTTTACCTTTTTAACGATTCTTACAGTACGGTTTTCATTTCAGAAATATTTTTCTTAAAAAATGTTTTGTGGCGGGTAACGGCAGGATGAAGGGGTTGTAGGTAAAACCTAAATGAATTGTGCTGACAAGCAACAAGCAGTGAATACAATCCTCTTTATTCACATTTCATTGACATATTTAGCGATATGTATCTGGCATGCTCTTCTTACAAGTCTAAACAAGAAACAATTGTTCTTTTATCATTTTTGTCTGGTCTGCATATGAGATGATACGGGTATTTTCTTTCACTTTTACGGAGCAAATTTCAGCATCTCCTATTATCGGTGCAGGAACATGATGGTACAAACCTCTCATGTCGTCTGCTGCATGTTTTGACCCAGTTTAGAAAGAAAGGCTGAAAAAAAAAAACATGAGAAAAAAATGCATTTTTATGAGAAAGGATTTCATATAATGTTTTTATCCACAAACAATGAGATCAAGTTCCTAACGAGGGACATCTGTTAAATTTAAGATCTCGCGTTATCTTGTTGCGAGACGTGATTTATCTGCTTCTATCTCCACTTTAAAGCATTGTACATGGAATGAGCAATTTATAAAATATCTGGCGGCCGGCAGGGATCACGGATGAGAGAAGGGGCATACGTTTATGGCATCACGCATATCTGATGTAACCCGCGTTAATTTCTATTTCATCAGTTCCAAGGTCTAAATGTACAGATATGTAATTCAAAAGAAATACTAGATAGAAAAAGTTCACTTGTGAATATATTATACATGTTCACAAAGTGTAATTTACAATGTAATAAAAGCCCACCGATAATGTTATTTTCAACCATTTGTATCGACTTTATTTAGATAACGTACATATGTGTTCTGTCTTTAAAAAAAACATTTAAGAGGGCTTGAAAATCTTTTATGAAAAAAGAAATAATTTCAAAATAATAATTTACGAATCAGTTATGTTTTCTTAAAAATTTTGAAAATAGCCGAAAATTGAAGACACGTAGAATTATACAATCCGTATTTTATCCTGATGGAGGAATGCTACTTCTTAGAAAACAATTTATGTCCTAAATAACTCACAAAAATTTGTAAAATTGCTTAATTGCATTTCAGTTTTAAGTTATCTTTCAACCAGGAATGTATTGCTTGATCCCATAGTATTTCCTCAAGATGACATGACAACGATAGTCTTTGAAAAATACAATTATCTTCGAAGAAGCACTAATTAACACGATTAAAAGCACTTTCTGACAGAAGAAATCCAAAATCACTGCTATAAAGAATAAAACATGCAGATTACTTTACAGTATTTAAGCTCCAAGTCCATTGGAACAATGCAAATCGAGGTCAGAGAAAACATGAACCTCTAGAACATCAGAGGTGGGTTCAGGTGACCGGAGGAGTAAGCATCCCCTGCCGACCGGCCACGGGTGCCTGTTATCGAGCAAACGAATAAATCCATAGACAAGGCAGTGTGTAAATAATGATCTTACGAGTGGTATGAAAAAAGTCAGTCAGCATTCGGTTTAATGATATATTGCTGACAAGGTCATTGTATCGACCATAGAACTTTTAAAGGAGACTGTTGACATCCTTGATTCATCAAGTTGTTTGTCAATAGCTTTCCTCCCTTTAGTAATTTTTTGACATTGTACGTAGAGCAATGCTCCTGAGTATCGAATCAACTGTCTTGGATACGTGAACCCTATGTAGAAGATAAGGATATATTGCTATATGTAAATAAATTAAAAACGCTGATGGTCGCTGTTAGAATAGGTAATCAAATTAGCTGTCGGACAAAAGTAACCAAAAGTTACCAAAATCGAATATTTTCCATGGAGGAGCCCGCCATTTTACTCATCCCGAATCTACAAATGATTTGGAGACAGTTTATGAGGGCTAACAATACTCGAGGACAAAGTTTCGAGGTCTTATCTGGATGTATCTTAATGTCATATTATGTACAATTAACTTCATTTTAGATGTTTTGATATTCCTGATATTAGATTATGCAGACTGAGACAAAATGTAGTAAACATTTTATAATTTCATTTCATTAATTCTTAATTATCGAAACAAATAATGATTTATTTGAAATAGAACAAGGAAATAAACTCTCGATTTCCCGTATTAGTTCAGGTACATATCTGAAATTGTATCTAAAAAGTAAACACTTGTAAATATCTGTCCCCCTCTTCTGACTCCAAACAAGCTTACGTTAGTCAATGGTGCATTCTCTGGATTTTCCGTTCATTATTTTGTATCGGAAGGCTTTACCAGGCGGGTGTTTGGATCTATTTCTATATTTGATTTCCTACAGAGGCAACATTGTGAAAGAGTTCTCTTATCAAGGCAGACAGACCATATTACGACTTTAAAAAATCCAAGTATGCAAACTTTTCAAACTTATCTGCACAGTCAAACAAGTCTTGTGAATACCACTAGTCCTCAACCGAGGAATTTCGACAGGGAAATGATAGGGCATTCCGTATAGGATTGTCCAAGTTCGCGTCAACTTCCAAATTAGTCCTGTACAAAACATGCAACAAATGTTATAACGTTTCCTGACGGCATAACTACATTTTTCACCTTTTACATGCCAGGTATCTGATAAGCATGGTGTTTATCCTTTTCCTCCGTAAATATATGAATTTAAAACAAAGAAGCAATGTTAATGTCTGTATTACTGACATGGAGTCTATACATGCCATTGAAAGAAGAATCCATGCTCTATTCCACTTATAATATATCGAGAAAAAGTCCTTGTGTATATTTTTTTGTGTGTATTAAATTACAGAATTACACATTTAATAGGAATAAATTAGAAATTAAAATTTAATTGGAAATACCGGTAATAGAGAGATCTTTAATTTAGAGTAAATGTTCGAGTCAAATAAGTCTAAATATTTGTACATTTATAGCAATTAATTATAAATCAACTTCCTGTGCATTTATAAGTGAATGTATTAAATTTTCATTAACAGTAATGTGTTGCAATATAAGAACCGGGTAGACTCTGAATATAAACATGATAGAGAAAAGGTGACAAATGTCTGAAAAGAAAATCGTCCACTTCAATTCGTGGTTTATTTTATTACATAACTACATATAGATTTATTAAATAAATTAAATGTTTCCTGTTTGCTTTGAACAAGTCAAGAGACAGAATGTAAAAATATTTTAACATTTCAAAGGTCTTCTTCACAATTTAAGAACATTTTAGAAATAAAGAATCCACATCGATTCCAAACACCTATCTTTATATTTCATGTAATAACCAATTTGTTTACCAACCCACTACAGGCAACTTCGAAATTCCAGCTTTGGACGAGTTTCATTCATCATCTGATTATATCATACGTACCATGATTTAGTAATATACTGTTTTCTACAAGAACTTGTCTATTCTAGCATGGTGGATTGAATTGCTCTTTTCCAGGAATCGACATGGGGGCTTGTTGATCAAATACAGAGTTGATCTAAAGCCTACGGTGTCATATGGCGAGTAGAGGCTAATTTAGGGAAGTTGATACATAATTTAATATCTTTACATCCTATAGATTTTCTTACCTATACCTTATCTCATTTACATTAAGAAAACCGAATGTAACGCCATTTTAAACGAGCATAGCCGGAGAATTAAAAAGCTTATCTGGGGCAGATGTTACACAGCCTTAATTGATCTGCATTTGAAGTGTCGTTGACAGAAACTTCACTTCATTGCCCTTTCATAAAACTTTTTTCTTCTATAAAACACTGATTGTGTTCCGGAAAAACATAATACATGTGCATGATATTATTTATATTGCATGTCATTGGTGACAAACCCAATCGATTGACATTTATTCAATTGAGTTTAGAAGGTAAAAGAAACATTTTTAAATTTGACAGGAATGTAAAAGGTGACTGTATATCAAGTAAATCCCGTGAACAGTAATCAATGGTCAAGTAAATTATACCTATATAATATGTTCAAGGACTTCTTTCTCTCTGTTAAGGTTACTGTTAATTCTAATATTTCACAACATTAAAACTGACTTTCTTCTTGTGCTGTCAGGAAAATAGAATGGTGTTGTACAGTTGTACTTGTTAAGGAATATTTAAAAAATGATGGATACCACAAAATCATGTAATTGTTGAAACCACAGGTGATAGTCGAAGAAAACTTACCACAGTATCACTGTTCAGTTATGATGGTATTGTTATAGAATGCAAATAATTACAAGCAAATTCAAAGAATTGTGGTCCCCCACTTTCGGTGTCTTTGTTGGTGAGATGTTATTTTTTGACATATTGTGTCTAATATGAACATCCTATCATATGTCATTTCATAGAAATTATCATTGAAGTTGATTTTTTTGAAGGATGAAAACCCTTATCCTGACAGTTAAAAAGTTATGGCCAAAGTTAACGTTTTTTTAAAAGTAGGTCAACTCCAAGGTCAAGATCAAAGGGTCAAAGTTGTTGATGAAAGGTTTTCTCACAAGGATTACATATGTGAAGTATGAAAGCCCTAGCCCTTACCGTTCAAAAGTTGTGGTCAAGGTTAAAGTTTTTACATAAGTACATAAATCTTTAAGGTCAAGGTCAAAAGGTCAAAGTTGTTGATATCCAATCAAAGGACTTGCCACAAAGAATACATATGTGAAATATAAAAGTCCTAGTATCTACCATTCAAAAGTTTTGACCAAAGTTAAAGTTTTTTTAAAAGTAGTTAAAACTCCAAGGTCAAGGTCAAAGGGTAAAAGTTGTTGGTATCCAATGAAAGGTCTTCTCAAAAAGATTACATATGTGAAGTACGAAAGCCCTAGACCTCACCGTTCAAAAGTTATGGTCAAGGTTAAAGTTTTTTCATAAGTATGTAAATCTCCAAGGTCAAGGTCAAAAGGTCAAGGTTGTTGGTATCCAATGAAATGTCTTGCAACAAGGAATACATATGTGAAATATAAAAGTCCTAGTATCTACTATTTAAAAGTTGTGACCAAGGTTAAAGTTTTTAAAAAGTCGTTAAAACTCCAAGGTCAAAGGGTAAAAGTTCTTGGTATCCAATAAAAAGTCATCTCACAAGGATTACATATGTGAAGTACGAAAGCCTTAGTCCTCACCGTTCAAAACTTATGGTCAAGGTTAACGTTTTTTCATAAGTATGTAAATCTCCAAGGTCAAAAGGTCAAGGTTGTTGGTATCCAATGAAAGGTCTTGCCACAAACAATACATTTGTGAAATATGAAAGTCCTAGTACCTTCCATTCAAAAGTTATGGCCAAAGTAAAAGTTTGAAATTTCTGTGTAAAAGTGGGTCAAACTCCAAGGTCAAGGTCAAAGGGTCAAATTTGGTGGTACCCAAAGAAAAATCTTGTCACAAGGAATACACGTGTGAAATATGAAAGTCATAGCTCTTCTAAATCAAAAGTTATGGGCAAGGTTAAAGTTTTTGTGACGGACAGACTGACAGACTGACGGACAGACGGACAGACGAATGAGATTTAATGTCCCCTCGCTTTCGCGAAAGCGGGGGACAAAAATACTGACTTCTATGAAAAGATTAACAAACAACGTCATGTAGGACAGTGGAGTGCGATACAGCATCAGGATTATTGTATAATCCATACTGTCAGTCAAACAGCATGTTTCACCCCATTTCAAGAAACGGTGGCACAAACTGCCTTATCTGCAATTCAAATATCGATGTAATTATTCACTTAATATTTTTTTTTTACCGGAAATATCTTAATTTTCAGCACCGGAAATGGTTGCATTGCGGCTTGCAGGTCTAGTCCTCAATGAATGCGGAAGAGGTATTTAAGATAACCTTGTGGCCCGTATCAGGACAATTAGTTTAGAGTATTCAGAAGTGACGAGGGGCCGCTTACGGAGAACAACACAAGTGCCTCGAACATAAGTACGTGCTTTTGCTGAAGGGGATAGAAAAAGATGACTGAAAATTATGTCAACAGCTTTTGTGATGATTCAAAGAAACTTGTCATGAGAGATGCTTTTATAGTATTCATCTCATTATACTTAAATACACTCTTGAATCTACCAAGAGCACCATTTACATGTATGTACAAAAACTTTTGTTTCATGTAAATGATAACGCTGTACAAAAAAGTCTATCTAATACTTGTATTTAATCTGCACAAAGATGATGCAATTTTACAGATGAATCTAGAAAACTGTTTGGTTCTTAATGTAAGGAAAGGACAGACCAATATTTAGTTTTTCTCTACATTTTTACCACCGCAGGATTGATGTAAAGCTTCCCTGAACAAAAAGATGCCATATCTAAAAAGACACGGCACTTAAGATACATTAAATTTACTAACTTCAATTAATTTCTAGCAATCACAAGAAGGTGACATCTTCAATTAAATTTGAAGATTTTTAAAACTTTTATCAATTAATTAGATGATTGAATTTGTGCATGAAACATTTATTTTCCGCGATTGACACCAACAATGAACTGGATTTGTCCGAAATGACTACTATGTCTATTGGTTACTAGCGCAAGTCAATTTAAGCGTTTCTTGAATTTGCAACAGGAATGACAACGGTTAATTCAAAACGCTCATCAGGAAATTGAATCGCATGTAGCATTAAAGCTTACTTCATAACGGGGTCTCAAATGTTTTTTTTTAATTATTCCTTCCCCTTTATCAGCGGCTTATTCATTTTGAAACAAGCAAAACCCGGACAAAATGGAATCCTGCCATTGAACAAGAGTACACAAGAACCTCCTGTTAGAAGATAATGATAAGCCAGACCTGTATGTCAGGAGTCAACCAAGGAAGTGGTCTGCATTTCAGCACCAATAACCAATAAATAGGGCATATCAGTACTTCCTTTATGGCACATTACGTCCTTTTACCATAATGACAATGTAAACTGCAGGGGAACAGGTCTAAATAAGGAAGTAGACGTGTTGATATAAGCTCTTTACGACCAATCTCAGTTTCTGAGGGGGTCTTTTACTGAAACATTGTTCCAAGTGTATCCACAATAGGGGGAATCTCCCCGCTTTATACTCATTTGAAGAGTAACTAATTAGGCTTCGTTTTGAAATAAAAAGTGTCATCAAGGCACAAAGAGTGAGTCACATGGTATATGGGATGTTCTTCAAGACAAGAGAATAGGGTTTGAGTACTTAAATACTGGTACTCCATCTGGTCAAGGACAACGGCAGAATTATATTTGAGGAAATGTAGTTCCTGGGAAAATTCCTGAGATTTATAGTTTTTTTCTTTAATATTTATCTTTGATATAGTTTAAATTGAAATAATTCAATTGTCGCAATAGGTGTTGACACAAAAAGATCCCTCACTGCTCAATGGGCCGGGTAAGGGTATAAATTTGCAGCTCTCCACCGGCAAGTGATGGCGTCTCCATATGAGTGAAAAATTCTAAAGAGGGACGTTAAACAACAAGGAAAAAAAAAGTTTTTCACTCATTGACTTTAATCAAGGACATTCTATCATCCCCCTGAAGACTAAACTGAAGAACGTATGAGTTCTGACCTTGGTTGTGTAATGTTGATGCAAAGCAACTTGAATTGGGGTGATGAATAAATAGGCAAAGCAAAAGAGACAGCGAACATGTACTAGTATGTTAGCGAAATTCTTTATCTTCCCCTCACAAGACCCCTTCGTATATTACGTCAACTGAATTCATTTTGAAATTTTACATTCTCTTTAACACTTTAACTCTTTTCTTAATTTCATCTTTCTGCAACCAAGCTGTTTTTCTACCGCCATATCAACACGAACTAGATGAGTTTCCTTCCAAGCATATGTAACGTCGACTCCAAAACTCATTAGGAGTTATTAGCGAGCATGCATGAGAACGTCTTTGAATCTGCGAAAAGTTCAGCTAGTGCCACTCACAAAGACGGAGATCACAGCCTCTTACATAACAGTATATATAGACAGGGCTTTCCTATCGCTTGTATCCAGAATCTCAGGCACTACGTATTACCGTCAAAACATTAACGAGATACACACAAGTTTTTCGGGAAAACTGACGGGAGGGGAAAGAGTTCATAAGCAAATAAAAATAAAAAACGACTTAAATGAGGCAGGGCTACCTGGTACGTCTTCATGCTGGTAAATATAATGATCTTGCATCTTTACGACATTGAAAGAAATTACTGTACTGCGGCTTATGACGAAAAAGTGAATTTTATAAATTTCTTGTTTTTGAATTCGTTTTTAATAAAAGCAGATTTTTTCTTCTGTAGAAGCAGCATCATCTGAACTTCAAGTCTATATAATAACAATTGATCAACTTTCTCCTTCTAGAAAATGATTTTATCTGATGAAAGTTTTTCTTCACCAACGCTGTCAAGATGTAAATTTTAATAACTAGTAGGCAGTAACTACAAAATTTACAACATGAGGTAAATTCAAAATAACAACATGACAATACAACACATATGCATCAATGAAACAAGGATTATCATACATGCAAAAAAAACAACAACAAAAAAAAAAACAAACAAAAAAAACATTTCCTTACTATTTAGATAATTTTTTTAAATATTTAAATACAGTGACTTAATGTCAACGTCTCTAAGGTCTTGAAGAAAACCTGTCTAAGCTGATTCTGTGAAACAAGAGTTCAACAGCCTACACGCTGTTAGGAAGCTTATAAATCCCCATCATCCTCAACCCAGCTCCGAGGCTCGTTCATTTAAGTCTCCGACTTTTGCCTTATTGAAAACAAAGCCGTATAAAAAGGAATACGTTTTAGGTAGCATTTTAAGCCGCAGACAAAAAACTACTGGTCGCAAGAGAACCTTACAAATGTTGCTGGTATATACCAAGTATGTGATGGGAAAAGTTGTTTTCTGAGAAATAACCATACGGATTTTTAAATACGCCTCGTGTTTGTTCCTTATTGGGCGAATATTATACAACTGTATGCAAATATACTAAAAATTGATTCATTATTGAAAACGAGCACAGTACTTTGCTACTATTTCGCTACATTTTGAAATAGCATATACTTGTAACATGCACAATCTACTTTGATCTGCACACCTAAATAATTCCCACAACATCAACGTTTTAAATAAGAGCATAAACTCTCTGATGAGGCTAATAGTAATGGATAATACTGCATAAAGTCGTTACGCGGACGGTTGCAACGTAACCTTTGACCTCTCTGTCCGCACCCTGCAAGAGCTCTTTAACTGAGCTTTTGAATTTGC